AGGCTAGCTTCCGGATTTGTTATTTCCGAATTTTATAATGTGATTGGCATTAAAAACACGCTCACCTTCAACGAAATTTCCTTTCCGAGGCTTTGTGTCAGCCCAATCACATATTGTGTCAATACTTATCATTTTATCGTAATTTAAAAACTTGGAAATTGCACGGTACACTATAGGAACTACGATAAATTTTCCCTAATCGGCGCCATGTTTTTAGGCTCCTCCTATTTGACGGATCCCAATATGTACTTAATAATAACGTTTTAATTTAAAATTAAACGTATTAATATACGTTCTTTAACGCTTTAATAAATACCGTAATTGCAATATATGAAGTTGATAGCGTAAGTAATGTTGATGTTGGTTGCCTTCGTCATGGTATTTCCTTCTTAAATATTGAATTATTCAAAAAGTTTATCGGCAGCAGCGATCGCAGGCCAGCGCATTCCGTAAAACATATTCTTTCATCAATCATTGCAATTTCTCTATGAAATAATTTAAAGGAAGTCAAAGCCTCCTCACAGCGATACCTACCTACCTACCTGCCTATACACTTTATATCTGATCATAACTCCCTACTGTTCAAACGTACAAAACAACACGTACAAATATATGTCATACCTACATTTTCACGTTCTTCTATTCTGTTATATGCAAACAACTAAAGAATTCGCGTACCTTTCCACAAACAGAACTACTGAACATCCAGAAAAAACTTCCTTTTAGGACGTTATGCCTTTTATGAACAAAAAACACAGCACATGAACTAACAATATAAATATACGAATATACATACGTTCGTACAATTTAACTAAAAGTGCCTCTTCACCACGTGCATGAGCCAAACCGATAAAATGGTTACAATAAATACCTAGAAGTAGTGAATGAACCGAAATATAAGTTCTTGAGTTATAATGATAGAAGAGAGATACTTAGTTTGTATATAGAGCATCAGGCAGTTATAGAGCTGGGGCTGCAATGTAGAGAAGTAAATATTAGGAAGGGAGTCAGACAGGGATGCCCACGGTCACGGCTACTTTTTAATCTATACATCGAAGACGCGATCAACATCATTAAAGACAGTACAGCTGTAGGGTTAGATATACACAGGGGCAAAAGATTAGTGTGCTTAGATTTGCAGATGATATAGCGGTATTAACATCTAGCAAGGAGGAGTTAAAAATAACTTTAAATAAAATGGAAGCGGTACTGACAAAACTGTACCGTATGAAAATAAATAAAAAGTAAAACAAAAATACTAGTATATAAAGGAAGAAAAAGTAGGGAAAAGGCGAATATAAAGATAGGAGACAAAAAATTACAAGAAGTCAGATAAGTCAGGACGGAAGGAGTAGTAGGGATATAAAGCAGAGGATAGCGCAGGGTCGAGTTGTCTTCAATAAAAACAAGTCACTTCTATGTTCGCGAACGGTTAATTTAGAAATTCGAAAAAGGTTGTTAAAGGTGTATGTTTAGAGCGCGGCGCTGCGCTATACGGATGAGAAACATGAACAGTTCGAAATGTGGTGTTACAGGCGAATCATGAGGATACCGTGGATAGAGAAGGTTAGAAATGGAGAGGTATTGGAAAGAATAGGAAAACAGAGGACTCTAAGGAAGTCAGTAAGAAATAGGCGCGATAGGTTCCCTAGACAAAAATTTTAAGTCTCTCTCTAGTCTCTCAGAGTCTTTCAGCGTCTCTGAGAGCGTCTCTCACAGTTTTTTACAGTCTCTCAGTTATTGCCTAGGTATTTTTATCGATCTCTCACATTCCTCTATGAGAGACTCGAACGATAAAATTGTTAATTCAGAGTTTCGAGTCTCTCTCAGAGAGACTGAATGAATAAAACTGAAAAATTGAGAGACTCGAGTCTCTCGTAGAAAGACTGGGATCTCTGAAATATGTAGAACCTTAATTATGTCTATCGAGACCCTAAACAGTTTTTTTGGCAGTGTCTCAGCGACACCAGAGAGACTCGATGAGAGACGGAGACTCAAGTCTNATGAAATATTTAATTAATTTTGAAATATGTTTTAAAGTCTAAAATAGTTTTTGAGTTTTCTTAAAACTCCACTGCGTGACAAAATGGTAAAGTTTTTTTCGTATTTAAAATTCAAGTTGTTTCTTACAGTGCGTTACTGCTTTCACATTCCTCTATGAGAGACTCGAACGATAAAATTGTTAATTCAGAGTTTCGAGTCTCTCTCAGAGAGACTGAATGAATAAAACTGAAAAATTGAGAGACTCGAGTCTCTCGTAGAAAGACTGGGATCTCTGAAATATGTAGAACCTTAATTATGTCTATCGAGACCCTAAACAGTTTTTTTGGCAGTGTCTCAGCGACACCAGAGAGACTCGATGAGAGACGGAGACTCAAGTCTCGCTTTCAGAGACTCTGAGAGACTGAACATTTTTATCTCGGGTTGGTATCAGGCATGAAGGTCTAGTCAGAGACATATTAGAGGCAGAAACAGGAGTTAGACGAGATAGAGGTAGACCTAGATTAGATTACTGTTCGCAAATAGTTAAGGATGTGGGTTGTTCTGGTTTTGGGGAAATGCGAAGATTAGCTCTTGATAGAAAAAAGTGGAAGTGCGTGTCCAACCAGTCTTAGAACTGACGACCTTATGATGATGAAGTTTATTACACCTATCTTAATAAATTTCGGAAACATTCACCTCGTATACTATTAATTATGATACTATATTCGTTGTAATTAATTTTTCAGGTAATTTTCGCATTTGCTTTCGCCACCGTTGTCTTGAGCAGCCCCGTCCCTGAGCCAAAACCATCAGGTGTAGTGGCCGCAGCTTACGCCGCCCCCGTAGTCGCGGCCGCCCCTGCGTTTGCACCTGCGGTCGTGACTGCAACAAGCTCGCAAGTGATAGCAAGGAATTACAACGGGCTCGCCGCCTACGCCGTAGCTCCTGTTGCTCCAGTTGTAGCTGCGCCCGCTGCTCCTGTCGTTGCTGCACCCGCTGGTCCTGTTATCGCTGCCTACAGCGCCCCTTATATATGGTAATAATTACCACGTTGACCATCGCATTGGATTCATGTTCTAATGAATGCTTACCTAATATCCGTGCATGTTACTACTGTCTATATAGATAATGAACTGAAAATATGATGATGAATTGTACAAAAATAAATGAATTAGCATAATTTTTGACTAAATCGTTTTATTCCTTACCTATTAGGTAATAAAATAGTTTGAGAAACTTTTAATAGTGGTAAGTAATAATATTTTGACTAACCAGACCCAGGCGCGCAATATTTAGGTTCTTGGGGTTCGCACATATTGTGACAATACTTATCATTTTATCGTAATTTAAAAATTTGGAAATTGCACGGTACACTATAGGAACTACGATAAATTTTCCCTAATCGGCGCCATGTNAATTGTACAAAAATAAATGAATTAGCATAATTTTTGACTAAATCGTTTTATTCCTTACCTATTAGGTAATAAAATAGTTTGAGAAACTTTTAATAGTGGTAAGTAATAATATTTTGACTAACCAGACCCAGGCGCGCAATATTTAGGTTCTTGGGGTTCGTTTGTAAATTACGCCATTCGTTAAGGAAAAGTGTATCATCCTATTAGGAGATCTAAATTTTATTATGACACGCTGTTTAAACAAAAAAAATAACGTGTCACGGTAAAACTTCGTGTAAAAAGTAAGCATGTAAGGTAGTTCAGAGATTCTCCAAATGATCTTAATCGACCCCTACGGGTCAAATCCGAAATGCAAAGGGTCCATGCCCGCGAAAATAAAAATTGGTCCGAAATATCTGCATCGTATAGAATTTTAAAAATACTAATAGATACATGTCACGAGGTAAATTGTTACTTTAGGTTTTTTGTTAATTATTTATTTTAATTATCCGATTATAATGTGTTTCTATTATTTTGTCGTAACTGGGCGTAAGGTATTAAAATGATAAAGAAGACGCGACCAACATCATTACAGACAGTACACCTGTAGGGATAGACATACAGGGGCAAAAGATTAGTATGCTTAGATTTGCAGATGATATAGCAGTATTAGCATCCTGCAAAGAAGAGTTAGAGATAGCTTTAAATAAAATAATGCAAGAGAAGAAATAGTAGAGAAAGAGTGAAAAGAAAAGATACGAAAAATTAGACAAACTGGCCAATTTTGGGTATCTAGGAAGTCAGATAAGTCAGGACAGAAGGAGTATTAGGAATATAATACAGAAAATAGTCGAGTCGCCTTCAATCAAAAGAAGTCACTTGTAAGCTAGCGAACGATTAATTTAGAAATTCGAAGAAGATTGTTAAAAGTGTTTGGAACGCGGCGCTGTACGGGTACGAAACATACGTTCGAAATGTGTTGTTACAGGCGAATAATGAGGATAGCGTGGATGGAAAAGGTTAGAAATGAGTAGGTATTAGAATGAATAGGAGAACAGAATGAATTATGGAAGTCGATAAGGAATAGGCGAGATTGGTTGGTAGGACACCTTCTCAGTCATGAAGGTGCAGGGTAGAGGTAAACCTAGATTGGATTACTTTCGCAAGTAGTGGGCTGTTCTAGTTTTAGGGATATGCGAAGATTAGCTCAGGATAGGAAAGAGTGAAGATGCGTGTCCAACCAGTCACACGACTGACAATCTTATGATGTTGAATGAAATTCCCGATACTAACTGGGTTAGAAAGCTGCTTTGTCTTTTTCGATAACTTCTTGAAGTTCTATAATTTTCACAGTAACCAGAACTATCGAACTTGCGACAATTCCTTGAAAAAATTCTTTTCGATTACTGTTTCCTTGCTGTAGAATGCCAATTGCAAGTAAATGAACTCGATATCTGTATTAAGAATTTTGAAAGAATTGCAACTTCATAACTGTGAAATATTTAATTAATTTTGAAATATGTTTTAAAGTCTAAAATAGTTTTTGAGTTTTCTTAAAACTCCACTGCGTGACAAAATGGTAAAGTTTTTTTCGTATTTAAAATTCAAGTTGTTTCTTACAGTGCGTTACTGCTTCGTCTCCTGAAAAATGTTGCTTAAAAATTAATCAAAGCCTTTTGTAGGTACCGTTTATTATTTTATTTTGCTGTAAGTAATACGTCGGCGTTGTTTTCTTTAAAATTTTCTGCCAGAGAAGACAGGCCGATTAATTATATTATAAATTGTGTGAAATCGGCGTCGTAATTAAGCAACATTTTCGAGTGCTTTGTGTTACGGGCCAGCGTCAATTTAAAAAGCTTAGTTAACATCTACATCTAAGTTTATCTTGTAAATCTGTCGCTTATCGTAACCACAAACTCAACTCGGCTTATTGTACCGAGTTTGTCGTCATCCATCATTCTGACACTTTTCCAGTTATATTTTTTTTAACGTGAATGGCCAAACGGTTTCAAAACCATTCGACATCAAATAAAGAGCACCACAACACTGGTATCTATCAGCTCGTAGAATCGGCTGGTTAAAGGAAATTCTCTTCTTTCATCTTTCGTGCTCAATGCTCATCAATTTGTAATACGGGGAACGATCGACAAGTGCACAGCCAGTAAAAAATACGAAATATAATGAGTAAACGGTTTTTTGCTTTTTATATTAGAAATTCGAAAAAGGTTGTTTAAGGTGTAAGTCTGGAGTGCGAGGTTGTACGAGTACGGCATATGGACAGTGGGCGTGGCGGAAAAGAAAAGATTAGGTTAGGTTAGGTTAGGTTAGGTTATGTACGGGTGCGAAACATGGGCAGTGGGCGCGGCAGATGAGAAAAGATTAGAAGCGTTCGAAATATGGTGTTACAGGCGAATGATGAAGATACCATGGATAGAGAAGGTTAGAAATGAAGAGGTATTAGAAAGAGTAAGAAAACAGAGGACTCTGGAAGTCAATAAGAAATAGGCGAGATAGTTTAGGAGGACACCTTGTCAGACAGAAACGAAAGTTAGGAGTTGTAGAGGTAGACCTAGATTAGATTACTGTTTGCAAATAGTTAAGGTTATGGGTTGCTCTAGCTTTAGGGAAATGCGAAGATTAGAAGTGGAGATGCGCGTTCAACCAGTCTTAAGATTGACGACCTTATGATGATGATTTTAATCGAGCTTAAAGCTTAACACAAGAGGAGTACAGATAGTTTGGTCGTTTGACAGTAGGCGTAGTTTTGCACGGTACAATAATAAAAAATCAAATGCATGTAATGTACAGTCTATTCAATATGTACAGTAATATTAATGGCAAATTTATATAGGTACAAAATAGTAAAAAGTATACACAAAAAGACAAACAGATTCGAATTAATGAATTCGTAAATATCGAATATTTCGTCTCCTATCTTTATATTCACTCTCCCTACTTTTTCTTTCCTTGAACTGCTTTGTCAATCTGTGTATCTATCCCTAAATTTGTCCTGTCTTTAATGATGGTTATCGCATCTTCGATATTTCTATTCTATAACTGCCTGGACCCATTTAACATTATCAAAAGGTTTTTCTAAATCTCCAAATCCTATGTACGCCCTCTTTTCTTTTTCTGTCTTTTTCTCTATTATTACATGTAAAGCTAAAATGGCCTTCCACGTTCCTCTATTTCTTCTAAATCCGAATTGGTCTTCCCCTAACAATTCTTCCGCCCTTTTTTTCATTCATGAGAAGTTAAGTATTGTCTATCCTCTACTATTCATGGTGGACTCTATTTAGATTCTGCCGGTTCGCCTTAAGTTTTTACTTATATTTCTGACCTTCTTGGCTCAATACGAAAATTTGAACTTAAAAGTTGTGATACCAAACGGATATTATCATTACCTAAATCGAAGGCAAGTGTGCTCAAAATACAAATGTAAACAAAGGACATAAACTATAGCAAAGTATTTATTAAACTGTACATATAAAAAACAGATTTTTGGGGTAATAATTTGGGGGACTGTATTTGTGTGTAAGAAATGACTACCTATGTATTTACTCTAAGATTTAGGTATACGGGAGTCAGATTAATTAAACGTCATGACTTACACAGTTCTCTAGTTCTAAACAACGTAAAATATTTCTACTTTTCCCTTTTATGGTGTCCTAACATCCCTATCATAGGCATTTCTAATTCCGTCTTCTAAACCGTTAAGGCAGAAGTAAACTCCATACAAGAAAATAAGAGTAAAAAAACAAATATCGTGTATTTCTAGTAAGCAAAATTAAAAAAACTTTTGGCAATTCATTTTGTGAGTCTTCTCGAAAGTTCGATAGTTTTCCTTAATTTCAAAGATGAAAATCCAACATCCCTCTCGGGTAAGAAATCGCACATAGTCCTTATTAGGAATGGATTTTAGTAAAGTAAGGTTATGTTGCTCTTCCATCCCTAAAATCAGGAAAAATTGTAAATTTTTTGAAAGGGGCATGGTAAAATACATATTTGGATGACGATTCACAGCCGAAGGAAATGTCGTATATTCCTTGTTCCCTTGGTATGTAATTAAAACACCAAGTGTACTATTCGTTTCAAAAAGTTAGAGATATTCCCCTTCCTTTTATTAGGATGCGCCGTAGCATAATTCCAAATTTAGTTATATTTGTCTGCGGAGCTCATTTCTCCACCGATCATCGAGCGAGAACTAGACAAAAGTGTACAGTACCATTTGCAAAATTATTTAAATTGCCTCGTTAAAATTTAAGAATATGCTTTATTTAAAAGCAAACTTAGCCAAACGTAATAAGTGAATTAACTTAACGTTCTACATAACTGTAAAGCTTTTGCTTTGTTATCTATTGTTAATTTATATACATTTTTGTTTTAAGAAATTGCTAAACATTTTTGTCTAGTACTGTACAGTTCTAGTCAATCTCCTAAGACCGCCCATCGAGAGCTCTGCTCGTTGAAGCTTGTTCCAACTGTTTCTGTCTAGCCTACTGTGTATTCTTTCTTCAAGGTCACAATTCTAACAAATTGAAATAGACTGTAGTGTATCTTTGTGAATAATAACACATGTATGGAGAAACACTGCATTAATTAAAGACTACTTTGCATTGCAACATGCTGCAAGCGTAATAGGACAAAAACTAAAACTGTCAACGTTTTAATAAAATTAAAAGAGCATTAGTTGTCCGGTATCGTGTCAGGTGACATATCTAAAGCAAAAAGATGCTGTTACAAATCACAACTGACAAGAAGAAAAACTACTGCAAACATTTCCGCG